ACTATGTGAAAAACGCGGAGAGAACCTTGTCGACATAAATGACCTAAAGCCCTAAACTGTAAACCCTTTAGAAACCTCAGCTCTCAGCCTCCCTCACTCAGCTCTTCAACCAAATTCAGAGCTTCGAATTGCTCTTCTAACATTGTTCCAGTTCTAGGTCAATTTTCATTTTCTTACCTTTACACCTTCCTGTTTAAACGGTTTTCATGCGAATTAATGGTACAATTGATTGAATGAATATGTTTTTTTGAGAAATTTGCAGAAAAAAAATGGCGGAAAAAGAGGAGCAGGCATTGAATTACATAGAAGAGACGGTGTTGAAGAAGAGGAAGCATAGCGAGGATTGGGCGATTAGAAGGAGGCAACAATTGTTGGAAAGACAATGGAAAATCAAACAAGACAAGAAATTTGCTTTTAAGAAACCTGAGGATTTTATCAAGGAGTACAGAAGTAAAGTAATCTTCTTTCCTTCATTCTTTATCTTCGGTTTTTTTTTGACATAATTTTCAGTTTTGCTTGGAATTTTAATGTTGGGTTCATTTTTTTTGGTTATGATTTTGATGGTTATACTTTGATTGGGTTTTTTGTGTATGTTAATTTTGTAATAGATGTGATTGGTTGATGCGAAAGTCTGAATTACAATGTTGGATTTGTTATATTGTGGGATTTTAGGGTTTTCTTCATAGTATGCAAGTAGGATTTGTGGGTGTAATTTGTTATGATGTTTGATGTTATGTTAGGGTGAACAAGAGTTGTAGAAAATTAGCATGAAATTGCTTCTATTGGTTTTCGGAAAGTATTTTTTGGGATGAACAAGCTTAGAAGATAGTTTAATAGGTATTATTTCTGTCCGGTGACTTGTAGAATTTGTAATTTTGTTTACAATTTTAGGAGCATTTTTATTGTGGGCTTTTAGAGTTAATGTGATGATGTTATGATAAGAGTCATGGAGTTTTATTTTTAATTTGCATCTTTGGTTTCAGGCAGCATAATAGCGAAGAATTATACTTCGTATATGGAATAAATTGGCAATGAAGATAGTTCTTTAGGTGTATATTTCTGGGGAGAGTTTAATAGATAGTAGTTTTGTCTTGGAGTGGGTCAATCAGGAGCAGCCTTTCATCTTGCTATGACTGTCAAGCTAGTTTTCTATTTATGTTGATCTCTTATGTAGTGTGCCCTTGTGTGATATGGTCTATATAACTTTGATTATTATGTTTGGTGTTGAGTCTTAGAATGTGAGGTCATTGAGTATATGATGCACCTTTTGAAAGGGAGAGTTATGATCACATTGTCTATCTTGCTCATGAGTCATGACATGTAGAAAAATATAGGTTCTCTGTTGAGCCTACTAATGACAACAATGCTGCCTATGCTGGTTCTATCCTTCTTATTGAAATTAGCCAAATTGGAATTAGATTAAAAAGTAAAAAAGATGTGGTTTAGCTTGGTTGGTATTTTCTTGGAAGAAGATTTTAACTTTTTAACAATAAACATTTATCCCCTGTGGCACTTCTAATCTGAACAATAGCATAGTGGCATTTTATGCTAGTGTACTTTAGGCTTTTTAGCTAGTTCTGTTAAAAGTGGTGAGCAAGGAGCTGACACAGGAAGTAGGAATGCTGTTTGAGCTGGGATAGAAAAGGTTTTAGCTTGTCTGGTTTGAGAAATATTTCACTGCTGCTGTCGATTTCCTATGAGTTTGAACTATTGATGAGACAAGGGTTCTGCTCCTACAGAATGGCAATATTCTTTTGCCATAAGAGAGTTGATTAATTTGGATCTCTTATCCTTTTCAGAAAATTATTGGTGTAAATTGCTGTAAATTATCACTGGATCGTAGTTCATTATACTTGTGCAGATGTGGCGCAGGATGAACCTAAGTTTTGCATTTGTCCCATCATCCATAGTGGGTAACGGGTACAATTTTCTTCCCCACCTCTGCGGCTCAGCCGCACTACCCACCAAACCTAAGTCGATCCCTGCCTCATTGGAGAAGGTCTTTTGTAGTTTTGTTATACCTGCTCGATCGACATCCCTAGTAATAGAATCAAAATCTTCGTTATATCTTACAGTATTTTTATGTGCCTCTGGTCAGATAATTACTCTTTGGGATCCCTTTCCTCTTAAGAATTGTTTCTGTGGATCTTGTATTTGTCGATTCTTGAGCTGTCCTAACACTGTTGGAGATAGGGTTTTGTGAATATAGGTTTTAGGGATTTTCCTCAGCTTGGATGGTAGCTAGTTTTAATTGTATGCAGATATGGAAAAAGAAAATATCATATTTGTGGTTGTCTGGTAAAATATTCTGTATCACAGTAGTTTGAAAGTATAATATAGGTGTCTTATGTCTGCAATTATCGTTTTGTCACATGTATCAGCAAGCTATACTTATAATTCTGCCTTCTGGGCAAATTCTTTCGTATTTTGCTCTTTTGAGTAGCATACATGGTTTCTGAATTGTGAATTACATTCTCTATATGATTAGGGCTTATTTATTTATTTATTTTATTCATTAATATGTATCACTGTTTACTTATTACTTTTTTTTTTATATTTTATCTGAAATTCCATTTTAGCAAATGGATTTGGTCAAGATGAAGCAGAGAGTTAAGAGACGAAAAACTTCCACTGCATCATCATCAAAGCTTCTCTTTGTCATCCGAATTCAGGGGTGAGCTGAGACTTGAGAGCTTGTATCATTGTTTTTTGGGCTTGAATGCAAATTTACCTTTATAGTTACCATTGCCCTTACTTTCTCATTAAATGTGATTTATTATTTTTCAGTAATGCACCTGTTCATCCACAAATTCAGAAGATTTTGAGGTCATTTGGATTGAAGAGAATATACAGTGGTGTTTTCTTAAAAGCAACTGAAGGGACTCTAGCAATGTTGAACAAGGTGGAGCCATATGTAACTTATGGGTAAGGATATAACCTTATTGTGTGCTGGTTATATAGACAATGGCTAATTATATACTCTATTTGATGCTCTTTTGAATTTATCTATTGTCATAATTCTCGTTAAGTCTTGGAATAGCAACAAACATTATGGTCGTTCCTGCTGCACGTTTTGTCTACTACAGAAGTACAAAGTGATTAGTCCTTTTGCCTATGTTGATCTTTTATATCTTCTTGAAGTACTGCATGATTCTCTATTTTTAGTTTCTTTTGAAAAGAGAAACTTATACTTTGTATTAGGGAGTGTTGGTTGGGTGTAAAATGTTTTCCATGAAAATGAATTTTCCATTTCCCATAATTATTTTTGTTTGGTTTGTAAACAATTTTCCTTTATAAAGGAAGGGAAACTATATGTTCCTCCCTCCTTCCTATCTCCCTTATACTCTCCTCCCATTTATCCTCTCCCTTACTTTGCCATTTCCCTTCTCCATAACTTTTCTTGCATAGAACCAAAGAAAGGAAGACCTAATGTTGCAATAGTATTTTCCATGTAAAATTGTTTTACATTAAATATATTTTATGTCAAACCAAATTGAGCCTTAGCCGTTCATTCTTTTGCCGGATGCTTTAACCTGTGGGGATGGGAGCTAGGAGAAGCTAACATGCTAGTATCCCACAGTCCACCTCGTGTATGACTGGCTTTTCTGAATTGTCTAAGCAGTAAGCAGTCTATGGGGTACTAGCCACATAAAATTTCTAATTGCTTCTTGGCTTTGTTTTGTCAGTCAGTTTTCTGGCCTTTTGTTTTGTATGATCCGGTTTGTATGTTGGTGTGTGCTCTTAGATGATTGCTTTGTGCTGTAAATGTAATACAATGACAAGTATTCATTGATCAAGTTTTCAATCTAGGATTATTACAGTATTTGGTGGCATTTCTATTTTTATTCTGTCCATCATCATTTTTCATTTATTTAAGTTTAAAAATCAGTGCTTGATAAAACACTTTAATGCATATGAAGTCATTAGGTTCTAACGAAGGATATTAGCATTGCTTGTCGTTTGTTTTAGTTCTTTCTCTCATTAAAGCTGTCTTAACTAACTGTAGGTATCCAAATCTTAAAAATGTGAGGGATCTCATCTTTAAGAAGGGTCTAGCAAAGGTGGAGAAGGAGAGGGTTCCTCTAACAGACAATAATGTCATCGAGCAGGTATGATAATCTAGAAATTGCTACAGTTACTAATTTCTGATGAGCTGCCATTAAATTTCTTCATTCCTAAAGCATTTATAGCAAGACATGATAAATGTGAATTGTTTCTGTCCAGGCATTGGGGCAGCATGGTATTTTATGTCTTGAGGATATGGTCCACGAAATTCATTCTGTTGGCCGACATTTTAAGGAGGTAACTCGTTTTCTATGGCCCTTCTCCCTTGCCAAGCCTGAAGATGGATTCTCGGGCAAGAAAAATCTATTCAAGAATGGTGGAGACTCTGGAAATCGCGAGGAAAATATAAACGAGCTGATTGCTAAGATGACTTAGGGCTTGCATAATATGCATAGGTGCATTATGTATCTGAGAATGCTTAAAATAGCAAGCATATGTTGACTTTATTCTATAGTGGACAACTTTTTTCAAGTGATATCCAATGGTTGCAATTTTGCTTATACGTTCATTCATGCCCTCGTCTTTTGGTGTTATTAACTTTTTGGTTTTCATAACTTCGATTATAAGTGATGATCTAATTTTTGGAAACAAGCCTAGATGAGCAAGGTTTTTGGGACAAGTTGGCAACTACTGTCACCCTATTTTAGTATTTCTTTTCTTTCAACCAAAATTTTTTAGTTTGATTTTAATACATTAACAAACGTTCAATAATTGTTGTTCATATTATAATATAAATTGGTGTTCGATCAAAATACTTGGCATCTAATATTTGAACAAAACACAAAAAAGAAACGAGGCAATGGAATGTTAATAGAACAAAAGGAATAGTCACCAGGGGTTATCAATGAGTAACCAAAAATTTCGGGGTCACCAATGAAAAACTTAAAAAGAGTTGGGAGTCTTCATTTAGAATGTTCATAATGTTTATGGGAGGTGTCAATTTGTGTAAACAGGTCGGTCTCGATAGAGTCGGGTTGGGTCTATCTCAAATGGGAGTCTTGTTAAATTTAAGTCAAAATTTAAATCGGATTGTTTTTACGTCGAGTGATCAGATCGAATGAGGTCTGTTTTTAACGCCTTTATTACGTCGTCGTGGGCATAATGCTACATTGACATATTGCAACCTTCCTTACTCGTACTAAAATTCAACTCCCTCCACAATCCACATCCAGTGCCAAACAACACCACAACAAATCAACAATGGAGGAAGGGCAAGACTCGTGGACATCAGCAGACAAGCTATACCACATCATCTTCTGCTTCTCCCTAACACTCCTCTTCTCTCTCCTCATCTCTCTCACTCATTCCTCCTTCCTCCGAAATCGCTCTCTCTTCTTCGCCGCTTCTCTCTCTCTCCTCGCCGGCGCCGCCAAAGAAGCCGCCGATCACCTCGGCTTCTTCCGCTCCTCCGGCGCCTCCGCCAAAGACGCCGTCGCTGGTCGTCATCGCTTGCTTCCTGCTTTCTCTCTCCAAATTTTTCCAACGGAAGTCCAAAATTGATGATGATGATGATGATCAGATTGCCGGTGTTGCGCTTGTTTGAATCGAGTATCATTTTCTCAGGTTATTGCTGTTTTCTCTCTCAATTATTCTGAGAATTTTCGCTGAATTTTGTGTTGATTAGGTGAATTTGAATTTCAATTGTAATCCACACTGTTAATTTATCAAGGTTTATTGTGAAATTGAGCAATGAGTAATGTTGCTATTTGTTTTATGAATTTTGTGTTGATGAGTTGCATTATTGCCTAAATCTGTGTTATCAATGCAATCACAGTGATAGATAATTTCTGTAGAGAATTGTTTTAAAATCAGACTATTTTGGTTTGTCATAGAATATTGCATTCGTATCATGAATGTGTATTGTAGGTCAATGTTGTGAATTTGAGTAAGAAATGTAATCAATGCTATAGGCTTTTATGCCTTTTGATTGCACTGTTCAGTGTTCATCAAGGTTTATTGCGTAATGTCGCGTGTATTAGCGCCCGTGCATTTTATGTCATTATAGCATATTGCATTTGTAATTTGAACATGGGGATAAGGTGCATTAGAGGTCAATGTTACGAGTTAAAATTGTCATCGTGGTGTTAGGCACATCGAGTAGAGAATTGTTTTTAAAGTCACACTGTTTACGAAGGTTTATTACTCGTTATGTGATTTGCATTCTGTGTATCCATTTTAGTTCCATATAGCATATTTAATCCATATGATGCTGTATGTTGAACTTTTTGTTTGATTGATATGCTATTACGTTGTCCTTAACTGTGTTACTTTGTTAATTAGAATCGATTTTGTTTCATGTTAGTTAAGAGTGAGCTAAAGCTTTGTTTCTTTTAGTTGTTGAGAATATGATGTTGGAGAAATCATGAATAATACTCAGGGGTGCCAGTGAAACAGTAGATAAGACTCACCGGTCTACTATTTCCATGTTTTTTGAATGTTAGGAATATGGACCATTGTAGAAATTTAGTTTGTATTTGGCAATTATGACTGGTTGCTGAAGTCTTTGACAGTGCCTAATTTCTAACCTTTTCCATTCGGTGAAGGGTTTGGAACAAAGAGGTAAAAATGGATACTGGTGAGGATTGAATTTTGTAAGTTCTGAACTAATTTTTTAGATAATTGTAGCTGTTGCTAAGAAAATTGAGATGATGGCAAGACCTCAAGAGCAAAAGCTGCCACCCCAATCAGCTAGTATCTATTGTTAAGTGGTCAAGTGGGAAAAGGTTAAGATGTCTAACTATTACCATGAAGACTATTGGAGAAGAACTGACGAAGTAACGCAACAAAAATAAGATAGTCAAGGATTCATCCACTAGATGAATCAGGGGGAGAAAGAGGGTATGAGAAGAGGTAGTGAGAGGGGAGGAGGGTAGAGGACACATACTCCTCCTGGAAATGTATATGGTTAGAAATCATGGTGAGAAGAGGATGCTGAGGAGGAGATAGTGAAGAACTGGGCTTGAATTTTTCATCCTAACTGTTATGTTTTGTTGTAAGGGGAAGGAAAATTGAGCCCTCCAATTTCTTCCCCTTTCCCTATCCTTTCTCAATTCATATCACATGATTGAAGTTGATCCCTTGCTCTCTCGCAGTCTCGCCCTTCCATTCCCTTCTTAGTCTTAACCTATCGCTGTCTTAACAGAAAAGTGTATAATACGTGAATATCCTGAACAGCAGAGTGTAGGTGTGTGTTACAACTTAAGATAGCTGGCGGTTTCATATGCTTGTCACTGTTGCTGATATGTGTCTATTGCTGTGAGCCTGTGATAATCTTTTCTTCTCGATTCTTGTCTCTTTGTTGTGTCTCATCCAATTTTTGCAAACATGCATTTATTTGTAGTTGGTCAGCAAAACAATTTAGCAAGCTTAACTGTTGGCATATCCTTGAGATACTTGATTAATTATTGTAATGGGTGCTTTTAGAAGGCTAGTTTATAGTATGACCTGCTCAAATCATTAATGCAACTAAGTGTTAAGCTTATTCAATTGTATTTTACACATTTCTGAATTACAAATACAGTAATTTCTTAAAGCACTTTTAGTGATCTCCTTTTTTCGGGGGGGTAATTATCCTTATGATGGCAAGCAAATTTACTTTTGAGTGATTTTGTTCAACTTTCTCGTTCACTCTCTATTGCTACTTTTTGACAGACTTCTTTAAGTTGTAATTTTCTTTGATCGTTGTTGTCACTGTAGCAACTGATACTATATTTACTACTAGTGCTTTATTTTGATTCACACTTGTACTTCTGCTTGTGGTGTCTCTAATTGATTGATCGACATTTATGCTCAGGTACTGTGGATGGCAGTTACGTAACAGGCACGGATCTCAAATTCTCAATACAATGACTTTTGTTTTGCTGAAGAGGAGCAGTTGGCCATCTTCTTTTATGAATTTCCCATCATGCAGGTTAGTCTGAACTATTTCTTATTCTCACTTATTTTGTGAACAGTCAATTGTTGCTTTTAGGATCTTCACTTGCCTGTTTAAGGAACCCTTATTTTAGGAGTATTGCCTTGTTTTTTTTTTTTTTTTTTTTTCCTTCCCTTCTTATGTGTGTGTGTGTGGTGTATTTTGTTGAATTTCTGTTGGGTCCTTGTTTTTTGTAGTTAGCTGTATAGAGAGTTTTTCTTCCTGTATTATTTTTTGGGGATGGATTAGTCGGTCAATGCATTGTTATATATCCTTTGGGGATTGATTGACACGGATGAGTACGAGTCATTCTTGTGCTGATGTTTTGAAAGGGGGCATAGTTGATATTGGCTAGTGTCAAATCTATAGTCTTATAATTAATAGCTGACATTGCAAGAGAAACGATGTGGTGTGATAAAGACCAGTCGTGCATAAGAGACATGATCATTGCTTGACAGTTATTAATGATCTTGACATTGCACCAAGAGAAATGAATAACTCCCAGTGAGCTGTTGAAAACTCAAAACTCAGTTTTCATATAGGTCACATTTTTTGCGATTGACATTATACCATTTACAATGCACACAGCAATTGGATACTAGTTGTCATTTTGCTCACAGAAAGCACCATCATTCATTCTGAATAATTCACCTTCTGAAGCTTGCTGCTGCTGAGGGCTGCTTGAGGGCATCTTCATCCTCCTCTGGCAACTTGATGGCAGAATAGACACCTGCCCCACAGAGTGCCCCAAGAATTGGGGCGGTAAAGTAGATCCATATCCCTTTATAGTTATTTGCAGCTATGGCTGGCCCCAGTGTCCTCACTGGGTTCATTGATCCTCCTGTAGTTGGCCTGTTGAAGAAAGAAAAATAAAATTTCATAGTTTGCATTGCTATGTGCTGGCCTATGGAGATTGATTAATGGGACAGGGAATATTGTGGTACATTAATATTGTGTTTGCATGACATGTATTGTTTTGAGTCAACCCATACTTGACATAAGCTTCCCTTTTAACAATGGGATCTAAATTTCATGACAGATGATCTTGCGCAACGGTGCATTAGTGACGCACTGAGATAGTTTCATCATGGAATGCATTTAAGAATGAAACACGTAAGCTACTCAGTGAATGAATGTACATGATTGAACCTGACGGTGAAAATAAACTTTTTTGTCGCGTTCTCTCCTTATTTTAAAATGAATCAGTTAAATAACCTAAATTTCTCTTTTTGAGTGAGTGGTTTTGTTCCCTTCTTAAAACTTTCCCATTTGTTAATACCCGAGAAAAATTCGTCAAATATGAATATAATACCTTTTGCTTTTATGTCACAACACGTATTATGTCTTTTTTTCTTCAAGTTATTTATTGATGTGATGTAAGCAATATAAGTTGGGTACTTATTATCAGACTAAAGTTTGTTTTCTCAAAACAAAACAAAAATAATACGGAGTAGAAGTAAGATTAAAGTTTGTTACTATATAGATATTCTGGTTTATGCATGTTATTATACCAATCATGTCCATTTTGGACTATTGCGTTACCTTGTCTAATCAAATAACAGACATATTATAAATGTCTTCTTTCGTCTTGGTTTATGATTCGACACCACTAGAAATTAGCAATTTTCATTTATCAATGATTACAGAGCTATCAAAAGTATTATAATCTTGTCAACCATTTATTAAGACTTTCATTAAATCTGAAAAGTGCGTGTCAATTTCAAATTAGAACTTTTTGTTACCTCGAGAATTTTTATGCTTTTATCTTTCTTCTTATTTCCTACATACGAAGTATTGTTGATTTAAAACACAAGCTTATAAAATTATACTTAACCCTTTCTTGATGTGGAAATCTGACTTATAAATTTGTTTAATTGTTTCTTCCTAAATATGCTACAATACAACATTCTGAATTTGACCACCCGATGGGTGAAGCATGAGTAAATTTTTAGAATCTATTATGATTTAGAGGGGGTGAGGTGTACTTACCCAGCTATAAGTATGTTGAGCATGACAGTTGCCCCCACTGCAATTCCAGCCAGTTCTCCCACCTGCAGAACATCACAAATGTTTTTTTCAGTTTTTCTTAGCTCCTTCATGTTAATAGATTCCTTATACCACTTTGTCTTTCTTCATAAAATAGTGCAGTGTGAGGAAAGGACTTTGTAGATACCCTTTTTCCTTATGGTTTACCAACATCATAATAAAATAAGTCATTTACAATAGTTTTTATAGTTATATCTATTTAATATATAATAGTCTGTGTTTACTTGCTGCAGTGGTGGGTAATTTTTTAATTGCTAAGTAGAATCCACTAAACATTAATGCTAGTCTCTAGTAGGCTGTGCATATTAAGTCTTATCCATGTACAACGCCTTTTGTTCCAAACAATTTCTTTATTTTTGTAGTTTTGAATGTGAGGATTGAAGTGCAAAGTTATATGACTTTCTTGAAACTATTTCATCATGGTAATTTTGTAATTTTTTTATTAACGTTGCAAACCCTCACTGAAGCCAAGAATTTCTATTTAGTATCTCAGAGCTTGGATTTTTCTTATGTGAGATTCCATGCATTTATTTTTTGGAATTGTTTAATTCTGAAGAATTCTCTCTCTCTATCTTTTTCATGAATATTTAAAAGTGAAAGCTTGATTAAGAGGAGACATTCTTAAAGAAGTATTTTTTTTGGCAGAGGCATTCAAAAGTACGGGGTAAAAAGAAAATTTTGATGCTTACAGCTCTTGTGTCGGTGGCTACTGCAGTGACAACAAACATGAGATTGAAGGCGATGATGAACTCTAATGCAAAAGCCTGACCATAATTCACTGAAGGAACAGTTACACCTCCACCCATGATAGGGTGGAAAATTGCTTTGAGAATAAATGCAGCGCATAGAGATGCCAACGTTTGTGCTCCTATGTATATTGGAACCTACATAATTAAATAAAGAAAAACGTATCTGTATTAAGTATTTGTAAATCATATCAGTGTATTAATAAAGGTAATTTGAAGATCATAGTTTTGGTTTCTTACTTGAGTCCATGGAAAATGTCTCAGTGCTGCAAAGGCGATGGTGACAGATGGATTCAGATGGGCACCGGAAATATGGCCTGTAGAGAGAATGATGATCATGACTGCAAGGCCACTGGAGGCAGCAAGGCCGATTAGCGTCTCTGATCCATCCGTCTTCTGATTCACAATAGCAGTGGCTGCGCCCGCACAGATTAGTATAAGGGTACCGACGAACTCTGCCACCACCTGATGTAATTGGGCAATTATTAGTCAGATGCAAAGACAATTGAGTTCAGTCAGATGAAGGTTCTTTCTGTTTTCTTGCCCTTATACAAAGTACTCTTTTTTTATTGTTTGATATACAACAATGGAAAGATTTTCTGAATAACATAATTTCCCTGAATTTCGAAATACTGATAAAGTTAGAAATTTACCTTCTTTGTTAAAGGAACCGGGGGAGGGGGCATTGTAATGCTGCAGGTCACAGCGGGCAAGCCACCCTCCTCATTAGGCCAAGTATCTACAGTGAAACAATTGGATCTCCTACTGAGAAGTGACTTCTTTTTAGGCCTATCGACAGCAAAGCCTCCGAAGAGGGGAGCCCCTGGAGTACCTGGGTTACCGGGGTCGAAGGCATAGAAGGAGGATCCTCAGAATCCATTTTTTCCATTATGGCAGAGATAAGCTAAGGTTTGTGAGTACTTGTTTATTGGCTAATGTTTATCCAAATTTCAGTATAGCAGTATTTATATAGTAGTTACTGTTGAAGGTTGACTTAGGAGGGGGAATCTCTAGACTAGGAAAAGAGAGAAAAGAAGTTAGTGGATGAAATGGAAGAGCAAAAGAGAGTTGGCTTTCATTTGGTGCAATGTACAAAATGGTGGTGGGACATTACAGGCCTGTTTTTCCTGCTTGAGATTTCTTTATAAAGGAGCTTTAAGCGTTGGAGAGATTAATCATGATGTTTATTGCCACTTAAAAATTCCCAATGTGTATGATTGCCCCCTATAATTATGGAGAAGACCACTCGTTTAGCTCAATTAGTTGTCACTGTAACACTGTCAGATCGAGTTTGGGTTTGAAATTTGTCATAAAGAAATAAGAAAGGCCGCCGTCTTCCTAAAAAACAAAGCAGGAAGGTGGAAGAGGCAGGAGAAAGGTCAAGATTCTGATTGTTGTTTCTCCCTATTTACCCCTCACCGTTCTTGTGTCTATTTTTCCCAATATAAAGTACGCATAACTTATATGAAATTGGTCTCACCACAGCATCATTCTCACTTTTAATATAGCTAGTATAAGGGTATTCTTATTTTCCTTTGTTGAGGACTGAGGAGTAACTTTTAATACTCTTCCTACCTGAATTAATAGTTACATATACTCAATTTAGGGTGTCTGAAAGAACTTATTGCAATAGAAATGATCAATAGTCTCAAATAAGTTACTGAGTACTTTTCTTATGGGATGCTGAAGAGGATAGAATTAATACTGATGCGAGTAAGTCTTATGTGTATCATATCTTATATACTTCCTCCGTTCTTTTTTTATCGCATCACTTACTACTTTAGGAAGTTTACTTATTATTGCATCATTTCCTTTTTTAGGATAAAAAAATATCTATGTTCACACTGCAAATACCCAACATACCCTTACTTTTTCACACTTACTTTTTATTTTATCTTACATTACATGGACAATTTTGTATTTTTACGTTTTTCTCTCTTACTTTTTTCCACTACCAAATTTTGCCTCCAAAACCTTATGATGCAATAAAAAAAAAACGGAGGAAGTTTGAGGAATTAAACAATGCAAATAAGTTTTGAGCGAGGCTGCGAGGGTTTATTATGCCATGGCACCATCCTGTACAATTGAGGAAGAGATTATATATACATAGTGTGAATTGACACGAGTGATAATACCTATTAGCAACTGAGAAAAGAGAAATTCAAATTAATAGAATAAGGAAAAGAAAAGACAAAAGGTGAGAAAAAATATGAAGTGGGTAGGTGAGTGGGTTTGTGGAGCTCAAATGAATACGAGCCTTAAGTGTTTGATAAATCCTACTTTTAGGCCGAGATCAATTTCAATAGTGTACTGAAATTACTTTTTCTTTCATCTTTTGTTTTACTGTTGTTAATCATCAAATGATGTTAGTATAGCATGATGGCCATAGATCATCCCTCCGACTTGTTGGTGAAACTCTATAATTACTTTTGATTTTTTGACTTGTAAAATCATAAAGTGACACTAACCATTGAAATAAAAGTTATCTCAAAATTAGTCAAAGTTACTCTAAAAACTGGTTAATTTTAACTCAAATTGACCGTTTTACAATAACTTTAATACTTTCTCTGTTCTCCTAATATTGCAACATGGGTGAGGGACACGGATTTTAAGATGAAGAGAGAGATAGAAAGGAATAAAGATGTGGACCCGTGTGATGAGGATAGAGAAGGAGAGAAAACATATACAAATAGAAAAGTGTTGCAATATTTGTAGAACTTCCTAAAATGATAATTGTTGCAATATTTGTGGAACGGAGGGTGTGATGGTCTCACATAATGCTTGTTATAATAATACAAAGTATATATCAAATAAATTACATTGTCAATTTGACACATCCTTAAAAAAAATGTAGAATTATACAACCTTTGTTTCAGTAAGTGAACTTACTGTTCATGAGGTCAAAATAACATAACTTTGACCATATTTTATGACTTATACAAAGAAAATAAGTTAGCTATATGAGCTTTTATTAGATTAAGCTAAGTATACTTTTTAAAATTTTTACTTATACATAGTCAAAGATATTAATGGTCAACTATACACAACATACAGTGAGTCGAATTTTAAGGAACGGAGGGAATACTATAATTTATGAAATTATGTGATCTGGGTATAGTTGTGGTGCTTGAGAAGTGAAGATACTTGTAGAAGATCTCTTTACGTCACATGGTATGAGCTTCCGGGCTTCCACCATTATATTAAACTAATACGAAGTATACTTTTAACATAAATGTCTGAGGAATCATTATGACTTTAAATAACAAAATTATTCACTTTTCATGTAAGTGCTGATACAGTTCATCCCTCTGTAGAGAATTTGATTTTTTTTTTTTTTTTTTTTTTTTTGGTGTTAGGTAAGATGAAGGGCTTCACCGGGCCAATTTGTATGTTGTGGTAAGTAAACATAGCATCAGAGCCCATGATGGAAGGGTCCTTGCAACTGCAAGAGTTCATTGAGTGTCTGTCGAGTAGACATACATGGCATTCGGACGCCCCATAATTTTATTCGAACAACGCTAAACAATGGAACTGCTAACATTTCCTGCAATAAACTGTGATTTCAAGGGATATTTGCATATCAGAACATCCCATTTTCCAAATATAGGAAGCCCCTAGTTATTTACCAAGGTGATGCACATGCACTGATGCTAGTGTTATGTTGCTTATTCTCATCATTCATATAGAGGACTAAATTTTTTATGCTCCATTAATATTAGTTTCTTTCTTCCATCCCTCTTATCTTTACTGTATTTACCGTAGATACTGTCTACAGAGTCAGATTATAATTATGTAATCATTTGGCAAAGACAGTAGGTTCGAGAACACGTCTTCAAATGTAGCAAGTTTCCATTTTCATGTGGTGAAAGTCTTAAGAATGTGATGAGTTTATGTCTAAGCAATTGCCACGACGAACTCAAATTTAACTAATGACTGTTATTTCCTGCTGGTACTGACATTGTCTCATAACAGTTCCATGGTTTTACAGGGCTTAACATTGAAGAGTTGGCCTAGTCCTTTCTCATTAAGGATGATACCTCTGGGTGAAGAGACGGATAAAGTTTATGCAAAGAGTAAATATCTTCTAGAAAAATGAGTATTAGTATCTAATACATAATACAGCATGTAACATAAAATTGACTTTTGGAGAATCCTTAGTTGGGAGAAGAAATATTTTCACGTACTGCCAGTGAATTATACATTCATTGTAATATGTTTTATTATTATGCCAGAAATTGCCTAAGTGATAATCATGTTAGTTTAGACAACGACGATTAGACTATAACAGGAAAATAAGAGGCAGAATCCAAAGTGCGGATATAAAGAGAGAGAGTCACAAAAACTAATGATATGGAAAACTCAAGAAAAAGGGGTAAAATTGTAGATGGCTATGATTTCACCAATCCATTATGATTTGGAGATTTTGGATATTTAAGTCATATAATATGTGTTTGTGTATACGTATGAAATAATTGTAAAAGTATTAACATCGTGAAACATGATTGAAAGTTTATATAGAAATTAGAAACAATTGTTACACCAAGACATTTTAATGTAGACAAAGAATCTATACATGGTGTTGTTGATGTGTAGCAGAGGTGGCAAAATGGCATTGTACAAGATTACCTGATATGAAATCCAACAAATCTATCTGACGTGACATGAGCCCAACTCAACCCAACTTATTCTTGCAATCTTGCTGTTAATTTGTACTCCGTGTATAATACAAATTATGAAATTATTATACTTGTTAAATTACTTTGGTGAAGACTAGCATTATTGCATTAATCGACCTGACCTCGAAGGGTATCCGAACAAGACCCGACCCAAATTCAACACGACACACACCCGACTCAGATAATCTGACTAACACTTCTAATGTCGAGGCGATCTTTGAATACAATAAATATTATGAGAAATCACCCAAGTAAGAATTTATCCAAACCAAACAACTTATTTAGTACTTGTATATTTTTTTTAACATTTTACAACATTAAAAGTAT